ATGTTTGTAGGGTTGAAGAAAATAATTAGATTTTATTTTGTTTTGTTTTCATAAATTATTTTTGAATCTGAATTAATATGATTTATTGATCTGATGTGCGTAGAGTTAATATGATTTATTGATCTCATGCGTACTAGTGGAGTTCGTGGCCAATAATTACCTTCAAGATTATCACTTCCACTTTGAAATAAATTAGGCCTTTTTAGGCGTACCCATAATGTTCTTCTTGTTTTTTCCCCTAAAAATATATAATATTATTTGTATTTAAAATGATATTATCATATTAGATGTCGAAGTCTTGATGCATATATCTTACAACGGCCAATATTGACTCTCTTACAATGAAATTTTCAGTTTGAAACATGTTTAATCTCATAGTTTAATGATATTTTGTGTTGATTCACATCTATCGATTTATAGGTCGAACATAAATGCTTAAACTAGTATGTCTTATAGATTCGGTGCATCTCACAACGGCTTGAATGATAACTTTCAATTTAAGACATTTTAAGTTTCATAGTTTTGTTTTCATATATTATGGTCTGGAAAAGCAAACTAACAAGTTAATTGCTTTGTTTAATCCAAATCTATTTTATAGGTCCAGTGAAGATGTCAACAACAATGGGATGGAGAGCGAAGTGGTTCACAGTTTTGCTGACCTTCCGTTATGCGTTTTAAATAAAATTATATGTCGTCTTGACTTAATAGATATAACTCGCGCGTTTATTGTATGCAAGACATGGCAACAAGCCGTGTGGATGTTAAATTATATTGAAACGTAATTTTACTTTGAGTTTTATGCTTTGATTTTATATGTATTGAACATATCATGTGCGAAACTTATGTGTTCGGGTTTCAAACTTTGAGACTTGAGATTTGAAGTTATGCAAAATTTAGTTTTTTTAAACCTTCCGATTCATTAGCATTATATAAATATATATATGCCGCTTTGCTCTATACTATTTATTGCAGCCACTGTTGTTTACCTCCATCGCAACGATCACTTTGTGTATTGTATATATGTGTCATCCACTTTGGTGTAGACCAAATTACGATTATTGAACAAATCAACCAATTTTTCTGGCAAATACATTATATCAAATAATAAACTTATCGCCTAGTTGTAAACGCGAATCAATATTTTATAGATTTGTATGGCATGGTTCACAGAAGAATATCGTGTATTAGCTTTTTTATTTCACAATTTAGTTTATTAGATTATAAAATTATTACTATATA